TGTGCGGGGGGGGCTTCCCTGCGCAGGGAGGGGGTTGTCACTGGGGCAAGCGTGCGCGGGGTTTCCCTGCGTCGGGGGTTGGTGCTGGGGCAGGCGCGCGTGGGGTTTCCCTGCATTGGGGGGTCAGCCCCCTGGGCAGGTGCGTGCGCGGGGTCAGCCCCAGGGCAGGCGCGCGTTGGTTTCCCTGGGGGAGGGCAGGGGGAGAGAATCCTGTGAGAAGGCAGATGCAGGGGACTCTCTGCCTCCACTGGCACCGCACTCCCCACTCCCCTGTCCCCAGCCACAGAACTCTGTCCCCAGCTACAGAACGCTGTCCCCACTCCCGGAACTCTGTCCTCACTCCCCTGGCCTCAGCCACAGAACTCTGTCCCCACTCCTGTCCCCCCTCCCCGAACTCTGTCCCCACTCTCCTGTCCCCAGCTACAGAACTCTGTCCCCATTCCCGTCCCCACTCCCTGAACTCTGTCCCCATTGGCACCCTACCCCCGGCAGCAGAACTCTGTCCCCACAAAATGTATAATTATAAATGCTTCATTTTAGATTTAAATAGCATCAATAAAAAACAGACCATTTATTTCATAACTATAAACACGTGATTTTAATTTTATGTATCGAATAATTTAAAAATAAACTGTTTACCAGAGTGTGTAAGTAAGGGCTGGGGATAGCAAGTGATGGACAGGAGGGGAATAGAGAGGGTGGGGCTTCAAGGAAGGGGTGGGGCTTCAAGGAAGGGGCGGGGCGGTAGATTTTTGCCTGTTCTGAGATTTAAAAAGTGATCTTGGGTGTAAAAAGGTTGGAGACCACTGGTCTAGACAGTACTTGGTCCTGCCATGAGGGCAGGGGACTGGACTCGATGACCTCTTGAGGTCCCTTCCAGTCCTAGTATTCTATGATAACCACAGATCTGTGTGACTGCAAAGAGATGGCAGCCAGCTAACCTTGTGCAATCCAAGCATTAAACACACACATTCCTAACTAAACTTAGAAAATTTAAATAAATACCTGCAATCCATGGGCAAAAACAGCTTGAGGAGTGTTTAATGAAAATGCTTTTTAATTTGCTTGTTCCATTTAATAATGTTTTTAAAAAACAGCCATTACTACTTTACATCGGGTACAGACTCTCAATCCTGAATAGTCCTTTCTTTAAGAAACATGTCCAATGTATAATAAATATTTTTACAAGATGGTATTTGAAAAGTAACAAATAGCAGCAACACCAGATTTGTTCTCTATGCTTTTTGTTTTGCAATTAATTTTTAACTTTTTTATGGTGTTGCAACTTACTGTACAGTGACATTTTAATACTGTGTTGCAACTTGTTTTCTTTGAGACTGTGCTCAGAAAGAGAAAAACATCCATGATAAATATATTTTTATCCTCCTACTAGTATTCCTATTAGGTCCCATTGTCAGATGTCTTGACACAGTCCAGTAGCAAAAGACGCTCAATCTGCTTGATCAGCTCTTTCCAGATGCCCTTTGATTTATGAGAGCAAACTCTTGTACTCACACTGACTTCTTGGTTTACAAGTACTGCCGAAAACAAGAGTGCTAAATTAGTGGTCTTGCATTCATTAACATACTGTTCCGCTCTCCAGAAGTTATTTCCCTTTTTTGGCTGCTTTGACTTGATATTGTACTTTGCTTCATCCTGACCTTTGCTTTCCAAGAGCACTTTATAAAGAGGACACTCAATAATTTCACAAGACAAATCCAAGCAGCTTGGTAAGTCCTTTCTTGCTTTACTTATTTTTAAATCTTAGTTGAAACAAAAGCCTATGTAGTTAAAATAAGATTTACACAGATTGCCAGTATGCTTTTCAAGTAAAGAATAACTGTGTTATAAATTGTTGTGAGATAATTTTCTGATGCAGAAAAGAAACAGGATAGCTAAATATAAATAAATGCACTTGGAGGAAAGAGAGATCTGTTGTTCTCATTTAACCAGCTGTCTTGTACTAGTCAAAAAAGAATTTGGAAAATAAGCAGACAGTCTCTGCTCTCCCTCCCGCTGCACAGGAAACAGAAGTTTGTGCCTGTGTCTTCCGTACGCTGTCCTGAAAACAGACTTCCTACAAAATCTCATTATAAAAAGGCTCACATCATGATCATTGCAGTGAATGAGAAAAGATTACCTTAGTTTTGAAAATATTAACTTGTCACCTGGGACACTATCTTTGATTTCAGAGTCACTGTGGATAAAATAAACAAACATCCATTGGTCTTGACAAACACGCCTTTCTAAGATAAGCAATAGATCTTACGGTTCACTAATATACTTGGGTTATTTGGAGCTATTTCACAGAAGCCTCAGATCCTCTTTTTTGGTAACTGCTGCTGGTTTTAATATTCTTACTAAAAATAGCAGCTGACAGCCAAGCTAAAAGGAACCCCTGAGAGACAGAGAGAGGATTATGTATATCCATTTCTCTTACCACGCCTAATGAACCAGCTGTTTGCTTATTAGAAACAGAAGGAAGGAAGTTAAGGGATCAATATTCAGTTCCTTAAGTGACAGCAGCCTTTCTCCTTACAGGAAGCAGCACGTTAACTGGTAAGCTTCTACTTTCTTTTTAACTCCACTCTGAAATTTGGAGTACGGTAGTTTCTCCCTTTATTTCATCCATAGTGACATGCTTATGGTGGTAATGATAAATTGGGATTGAGTGCATCTGTAATGTAAGAACCCACAAACATTTTGAGCACAGTAAAGAAGGAAAACACTAAACATTATTTTGCTCCATATTTTTAAAAACAGAGTAAGATCCACAATCTCTGGTGCTGGTAAATTCCTGTGGAATAATTATGTATTCTCTGCATAGGAAAGTTTTGCTTCACAGCAAAGTGTTTTGTTCCTGTTACTTCTTCACAAGGCATAATCTTGTTTTGTTCGACTAGCCACTTCTTGCACTGGAACATGTTCAACGTGATCATGTCATAAGTGCTCCATTTAGAATCTGCTGTAGTTCATGCTCCGCGTCAGTGGTCTGATGTTTGATCCAGGCAGAAGGATTTCCAAAGTCACCGTGGTGACTCTCGACTCATCTGTTGTTCATATGCCCAACAAAGCATATCCATATAAATGTGTGTGCCTTAAAGATGCATTGCTATTTTTTCAATCATTGTCTCTCCTGTAAATATGGTGTTACTATTTTGATTGCTTTAGGACATGATGGAATGGATTACAGCTTTTAAAACTGCTTTTTGAACTTGCATTTGTTACTGATAATTACTGCGGAAATGTGACAATATCATTTTTAAATGGTATTTGTCTTCTTTGGAGCCTCATTTTATATGTGAAACTAGAAGGCTTTTGTTTACGCTGGAGAGACTAGTTTATGTGTGTTAGTGTAACGGCATGACTCATCACAGTGGCTGTTCTAGGAATTAGCTCTCTGGGACCCGTGCACCTTCCTCAAATGGTGTCTTGCTCACCATTATTTCTCCTCTAGACCCACCCCACTCTCCAAACTGTGGCCTCCTTTTCTGGGCACGGCCTTCCAGGTGTGCCTCATTCCACTTTCTCCCCTCATGCAGGGGACTGGCAGTCCATAGCCCTTTCACTCTTCTCAGCAGCCAACTGCAGTCTAAGGTCTAGCTCCTTGCCTATGGGTACACTCTTCATTGTCAAGGGAGGGATCCAAGCCCATCTGCTACTCTGGATCCTAACCCAAGAACCCTATAGTCAGCAGCCACCTACTGCCTGTTCTCCATCCTACTACCTATTTTCCCTGGGCCAATTCTGCCACAGTCCTAGCACTCTCAGCCATTGCAGCAAGGTCTCAGTCTGGTAGTGGCCATCCAAAAGCTCAGTCTCATACTCTGCTGCCTCTGCCCAGTACTGCATTGTCTATGGCCCCACCCCAGGCACCCAGTCCTTCTCCCCTGCCTTCCAGGGAGAGATTCTCCTCTGCTCTGCTGAACAGCCCTTTTAAAATGGCCCTCCCTGCCCTCATTGGCTGCTCTAACAAGCCTCCTCTGTTTTGGCTGTCTCAATAAGTCCTCTTCCCATTGGCTGGGATTCTGAGCAGCTTCTCCGATGAATCTTCCAAGTTCACATCCTGGCCCTTCCAAATAACTTCTTTCCTCTCCCTCAGCTCCTCCATTGCCTCTGAAATCTCCCCCCTCACCAAAGTCTTTGCACTTCTTCAGGTGTGGGTGAGAAATATGGTTCTGTATTGCAGTTTGAATGAATTATTATTCAGACATTTTAAAAAAAAATCTGCAGGATTTTGCAGAATCTGAAAATATTGTGTGCAAATTTTTTATTTTTTGAGGCAGAATTCCCCCCAAGACTAACACACCCAAGCATCTTCTACCTCTAAAAAGTTAAATCCATGTTAAGTTCCAAATGTCTTTCTATATAGTGAAGTCTGTGCAATATTGACAACAAAGAAAACCATGAAATCCCTTTGATGGTATGTGGTGTTCTATCTAGGAAGATAAATTGAGTCTGATCAGTTGACTTCAATATTTATTATTAAAGAGTGACCAAGTGCTTGGATTTCCTGGAAATAGAATGTACTGCAATGGGTTGCCTAGAGAGGTAGTGGAATTTCCATCCCTAGAAGCTTTTAAATCTTGGCTTGACAAAGCCCTGGCTGGGATGATTTAGTTAGGGTTGGTCCTGCTTTGGGCAGGGGGCTGGAGTCAATGACCTCCTGAGGATTCTATGATTCCTCTGACCATGTGACAAAAGAAAATCTGGTCAGTGCCCTGAGAAGATAAATATTTAAATAGTTGGATAATACTCAACATACTGAGAGACCCAGAGAAAGGTTCTGACTTCGGGTTTTTTAGTACTTGCTGTTATGGTCTCTCAGGTTGTGCCCACGCTTGGCCCATATGTTCCCTGGGCAAACCCCCAATTGTGTGATAGCCTCTTCTCAGGGAGTCCACTCTCTTCCATGGGGTCTACCCCTCTGCCTCTCAAAGCCTTCAGCATACCTGTCTCTGCTGTGGGCCCCCTCTGGGAATTCCCTCACTCTGGACCTCCGGGGCCCCCACTCCCAGAGGGAATAGTGCAACCCTGTTCTCCAGACCAGAGCGACTCTCAGCCAGCATAATACAGGAGGTTTTATTGAGCTTTGAACACAGCAAAGGAACCTTCTTCATGCCTGTAGGCCTGGCCTCCCTCAGCTCCGCACATCTGAGTCTCCCCTGCAGCCAGATGGGCTCTGCCTGCTCTCTTTCTGTCCAGTTCAGAAACCCCCTACTTCCAGATGAGCCTCCAATATCCTTCTCCAGCAGCCCTACTCCAGTTCTTTGTCTTCTGTCCAGGTAAACAGGGTTGCCTGAGTCACTCTCTTCTCCGCCTCTCCAGCTGGTGAGGTCACTGAGGTCTTTTCTCTGTCGCCCATTGTTCTCCCATTGGCCAGAATTGGCTGTGCCATCTGAGCTGGGTCTCCATGTCACCAGGCCACCAGTCACAAGGATCTCCAATTTTGTGCTGTTCCCTGTAATAACAAACTCCCGCTCCGCTCCCCTCGTTAGGCCAATAACATCCAGGGACACTAAGTGCCTCCCCTCTGCATGCAGCCTCTTTGAACTCCCCACAGCTCCCCCACTTTGTCACACTTGCTCTTTCCCACCTTTCATATAATGGGTCAGAAATTGCATGGGAAACAGAAAAAGTGAATGTTTAACAGGAATTTTAATGTGCCTGGTACATTGGACCATGAAAGGAATTCCAGTCATCCAAAGTGGAATTTGATATAAAGATAAAGAGTGAGAGAAGAGGGCAAAGCATAAGGTGAGAGGACTGACTGTTGAGGAAAGCAGTAGGTTGTCATAGAGATGCATAAAGTAGTCACACTTAAGCACATTCTCATTTACTCTTTGAGAACTGTACTTCAGCATTTCCAAAGCATTTGTATGCTTAAGGGAATGCCTAAGGGAGGAGAAAAAGTGAGGTAATATTTATTTTTCTATGGCAGCTTGACACTTTAAATATAATTGGAATACTCATTAACTTGAAGAGGAAATTCTCTGCAGGATCAGACCAGAGGCTGTGTGCAGCTTGACCTGCTGCTCACAAACATGGAAGAGCTAATAGGGGAAGTAGAAGTGGGTGAGAACCTGGGAAGCAGTGATCATGAGATGGTAGATTTCAGGATCCTGACCAAAGGAAGAAAAGAGAGTAGTAAAATACACACCTTGAACTTGGAAGAGGGGAAGGTGATCAAGAATAGTCAGCATGGATTCATGAAGGGCAAGTCATGACCAAGCTGATTAGCTTCTATGATGACTGGCTCTGTTGATATGGGGAAGTCAGTGGATGTGATATACCTTGACTTTAGCAAGGCTTTTTATACGGTCTCCCACAACATTCTTGCCAGCAAGTTAAGGGAATGTGGATTGGATAAATGGACAGTAAGATGGACGGTAAGATGGATAGAAAGCTGGCTGGAAGGTCGGGCCCAGCAGGTAGTGATCAACGGCTCGATGTCAGGATGGTGGTCGGTTTCTAGTGGAGTGCCCCAAGGATCGGTTGTGGGACCGGTTTTGTTCAACATCTTTATTAATGACCTGGATGAGGGGATGGATTGCACCCTCAGCAAGTTTGCAGATGATACTAAGCTAGGGGGAGAGGTAGACATGTCTCATCTTGACAAAGCCCTGGCTGCTTTGATTTAATTGGGATTGGTCCTGCCTTTGGCAGGGGGCTGGACTTGATGGCCTTCTAAGGTCTCTTCCAGCTCTATGATTCTAGGAATACACTCTGCCAAAAATGGATTGAAAATACACCCTGTAAGTAACCAGAAATAATGAAGAATGCAGAGACCTAGTCACTAGGGCTATGACTAGACTACAGAGTTTTGTTCTGTTTTTTCAAAAAAGTGGCCTTTTTTAAAAAAAAAACTTCACTTGCATCTAGATTGCTGCCGCATTCTTTCAAAGTTAAATCTAAAGAATGCGGCAGTTTTTACAACTGGTAAACCTCATTTTACAAGGAAGAATGCCTTTTTTTCAAAAGAGCTCTTTTGAAGAAAGGCATCCTTGAACGCAAACAAGGCTTTTTCAAAAGAGAGCAACCAGATTGCCTGGGTGCTCTCTTTCGAAAAAGCGGATCGTTTTTTTGAAAAAAGTGGTGGCTGTCTAGACGATTTATTTTGAAAGAAGCTCTTAGTCTAGACATACCCTAGGAGACTGGCTCCTTTCAGTGAAGAGGTCCTGCTCCTATGTGCCAGAACAGGAGCACCCACTTTTAAAAGGTTGTGGCAATACTTAGGGCTATAAAGGATCAGAAAGAATGAAATGGGAAAGTCCTACAGAAGGCTGGAGGGACATCCCTGTGGGAAAGGCTGACATGCATCAAAAGAGTTGGAAGCTGGAAGGCCAGAGCCAAGGACTAGAGAGGACTGAAGACAGGGGAGCAGTGAAGGAGCTTACCTACTGATGTCGCTATGCAGGAGACCTGCAGCCCAACGTATAGAAAGGGCCCAGGGCAGTGATAGGTGCTCTCCTGGTGCGGATTAATGCCCAGTAGAAAGTCTAGAGGGATCCTGTTGGGAAGAGCAGGATTGAACTCCATTTGGATGGGCTGGAGTGACATTCCTGGCAGAAGGTCAGGATGAGAGCACAGGGGTGACTGAAAATGCCAGTGCATGGGATGTGCTAAGTTGATGGTCTACATGCCATGGGATTTTAAGAACTATATATATGCATGAGGAGTGAAGAGGTTGTCACATTCTGGGGTGCAGTCCAGACTAGTGACAGGTTGTGTTACTACCTGCCCTGAAACTTTGGGCACTTCACAGCAGCAACGCAACACATCTCCCAACCTGGGCTGCCTATGCACAGCCCAACAGTATGCAAGCCATACCCTGAGTCTGCGTACAGTTCATAGGTGCAGGAAGTAAGAATGTGGAGGGATGGGGTGTGTGCTGCAGCACCCTAGGTTTTGTGCCGAGAGTATTGGTCCTGTCTCCTGTCGCCAGTGGCTGAGCCGCCAGACCTGTTGCTGCCCAAGAATTCCACTGCCAGCTTCGGTTTCCCCTCAGACAGTGGCTCTGGCAGTTCCAGTAGCAGGCTCTGGGGTCCCAGCTGCTAGCCCCACATGCAGGAATCCTGGTTGCCAGTCCCTAGCTTCTGCCCTTAGCCCAGCCCCAAGACTCTGCCACTAGTCCCCAGGTCCCCTCCAGCCACTAGCCAGGGTTCCCTGTAAACTGTATGCTTGTGCAGCTTCTCAGGAAAAATTCAAATGCCAACTGTACATGTAAAATTATGTTGACTATTACTTTTTGAATTTTTAGCTAGCTGTTCTTCAAATTCCTTTTTGGCCTGCCTAATTATATTTTTATACTTCATTAGCCAAGGTTTATGCTCCTTACCACTCTCCTCACTAGGATTTAACTTCCACTTTTTAAACGATGCCTTTTTATTTCTCTCTGCTTCTTTTACTTGGTTATTAAGCCATGGTGGCACTTTTTGGTTCTCTTACTGTGTTTTTTTAATTTAAAAGTGAAAACATCTACAATTGCATATTTCAGATTTAAGTTTTGGTTCAAGTCTTTGTTTAAGGTGGTTTTTCTCACTCTCATCTTGCTGCAATATGGTGACTGATCATTTTCTTTGGGCAGGATCTCTCCCAGATGCCTAAAGATGTGGTGAAAAAGAACTTGGTTCTCTGCCCATTTCCTTTGTAGTCTAATGAGACTTTGAGGTGGGTTTTTCTGATGGTTACCCTTCAAAGTAAAGTTTATTCAAGCAGTAAAAGAAGTGACAGTCTGATGCTGAAGGAGACTCCATGCTCTCTCCCCTTATTTGTTTACTGACATGCAAATTTGCTGTGTTTCCTGCCATTTCTTCCTCTTACATGTTGAGCATCCTGTTTACTTATATGTAAATTGAGTTCAATAGGTATTCCCTTGTTTGGGACAGAACTGTTTAACAATTTTTCCTGAGGCAGGGCTGTCTAGCTGACCATGTCTGAATTCAACCTGTGCCAAAGAACATACATACACATATAATGCTGCTACTTGCATTTCACCATAATATTGACCTGTTAGTTACTAGTTTTCAAATGATCCCTTAACAGGGCATATTTTGTACAAAGATTAGTACAGTGTGTGTAGAATGAGAATACATGGGTGCTTAATATCATAGGGTTATAAATTAACTATACTTGAGAAAATTTGTTATGGATTATTTGAACTAATATTATCAGAAACCAGACCTAATTATGGTGTGTTTCTAAGATGAGAGAGCGTGTTGTGAAGTCCTTACTAAGCTATGATGGGAAGCAGGATGATAACTCCAGCTGTGGGGGTGTCCAGCACATGAAAATGAGTGGGAATTATTTATGCCTGAACAAAGGCAATCACCCCACCCCAAATTGAAGAGTACTGACACAGAGACAAATGAAGGCAGGTACAGCACAAAGAGTAAAAAAATGGCTAAATATTTGTGCCTTCACTCTTGATACTCCTCGTATAAAATAGGACATCCATTAAAAAAGTAAATGTTGTTAGCAAAGCATTTAAATATTAGTAACAGAATTAAAGTTGCCTGTGCAAACTCAGTTTGTTGCTCTTATACATATGCATTATAATATATATGATCATGTAATTAAAGACTTATTTTGTTCACAGCACCCTTGCTTCATTCAGCTCACAAGGATAAACAGAGATACCTTATCTCTGAGCTGCAGCATGTTCATGGCAGATAAATTTTGTTTCTAACTGCTAGGAAGTCTTTACACAAGATGTGCAAACTGCAGTTTTTGGAGGCTTAGGATTTGACCATGTTTTTGTGGTATTGGCAAAAGCCACATTTCCAGATACCATGGCATGCCTGCAAAATTTCAAGCCCCATCCTCCCTCTTGGGTGTGCTAGAAAGTCATTTAACAAGCCCCAAAAGTATTTCAATCTATTTATTGAAATAAAGGGTCTGGAAATGGCCAACACAAGATGGACAGGCTGTTGCTGTCTGCTGCAGGAGCTCATGGTGTGCTGCTGCCTGGAGCATGCTCATCCCCTCACCCTGAGGCAAGAGGTCACTGTGGCTAGTGAGGAGACACATGCCCCCACCATTTCTCCAGATGCTGCTGGTGCAGATGCCCATAGGTGAGGAGGAAGCGCTCTTAGCCACCCCTTTCTTTCCCTCATCCCAACTTCTCCCATCTTCTCCCCACTGTTCATGCCCCATTCCCTTCTCTCCCCCCTGCCCTATACCACTCCTCTTGCTTCCCCACTGCCTCCCCCTACCCATTTGCCCTGGGCACTCACTAGTTGTACAGCAACAGGACCCAGCACACACAGATGACCATGATTGGCACTAGGACCCAGGAGGCACATTTTGGAGCTGCCAGCCTCATCCCCGGAGTGCTATGGAGCCTCCTCCCCAACAGTGAGTGGAGCAAGTCCTGCTCAGTACCTGGAGACATTGGGGTGGGGGAACAATAGGGGTGGGGGCAGTGCCCCCAAAACTACTTACAATCAGTGTTCCCTGTAAGCTGAGCACTTGGGTGGCCACCCAGGAGAGATTCAAATGCTGCCCATCTGTTTAGCAGAGTTCCCACAGCCACCCACAGCCGCATGTTGCTCTACTAGTGATGGACAAATACATATGCCTAGGTGCACATAATAATTTATTCTGCACATGGATGGGAAAAATTAGAGGGAACATTGCTCACAACTGTCATAGGCAACTGGCCTCCCCCCAACCATGGTAACTGGTTTTTAATGTCTGGTCAGCTCAAGGGCCTTCTAATCATCAGTCAAGGACTGCAGAGTCCTACATTACTGATTTCCCCATGAGCCTGCTCCTACAATCCTCAGGCTGGCTCCCCCAAGCTTGACAGTCTCCCAATTCCCTCTACCAGGGTATGTCTAGACTACATGGCTCCATCCACGGAGTCATGTAAACTAGTTTACCCAGCATAGGCAAAGAAGCAGGGATTTAAATAATCCCCGCTTCATTAAAATAAACATGGCCGTCGCGCTGTGCCGATGATCGGCTGATCCGGCACAGCGTGGCAGTCTAGTCGCGGATCTGTCGGCTGGGGAAGCCTTTGCCGACCGATCCTTTATGCCTCTTGAAACGAGGTTTACAGGATCTATCGGAAAAGGCTTCCCCAGCCGACAGATCCGCGACTAGACTGCCACGCTGTGCCGGATCAGCCGATCATCGGCACAGCGCGGCGGCCATGTTTATTTTAATGAAGCGGGGATTATTTAAATACCCGCTTCTTTGCCTATGCCGGGTAAACTAGTTTACACGGCTCTGATGGAACCACATAGTCTAGACATACCCCCAGGGAGTAACTGTGAGCTACCCTCTTTAATCTTAACACACCTCCCAGGAAATGACTGCAGCCCTGTTCTGTTTCTGTCTTATAAATACCCCACCTGTCCCTGACCAGCTGAGCCTCATGTGAAATTAAACAATTGCTGCTCCCTGACTCTTCTTCCAGATACAGCCTGGGCAGTTAATAGGGCTTCATTTACCCTCTTGGGGCCAGTATACATTTGTAGAGAGAGCTGGGGCTGCCAAAGGTTGTAGCAGTGAATTCCATTTCCTCTTTAGGAATGAAGAATTTAAACCAAATTTCTATTTATTTCAAAGTTATTTGGTGTAAATGAACACCTATGGCTGATAACTAGTTATTAATCATATAGGCGACATCTACACTGCAGGCTTCTTGTGCAAGAACTGTTTTGAGCAAAAATTCTTGGGCAAAAGGTCTTCCACAAGAGTGCATCCATACTGCCATGTGCTTTTGCACAAGAGATGTGCTTTTGCGCAAGAGCGTCCATGGCAGTGTAGACGCTCTCTTGCGGAAGAAAGCTCTGATGGCCATTTTAGCCATAGGGGTTTCTTGCGCAAGAAAATCATGTTGCCCGTCCACACTGCCTTCTTTGGAAGAGTTCTTGTGCAAGAGGGTTTATTCCTTTCCTCGTGGGGAGAGGAATAACTCTTCCAGAAGAAACCCTGTTTTCTGATGCTTTACTGTAAATTTACTTGCACAAGAATGTGCATGCAGTGTAGACACCCAGCAAGTTTTTGCCCAAGAACAGCTGTTCTTGCGCAAAAAGCGTCCAGTGTATATGTAGCCATAATATAAAAATCTAACTCTTTATGGTTGTAACCAATTACTAAGATTCATGAAATAATGGAGTCTGAGAGTGAGGGGAGAGGAGAAGGAATAAATCTAAGTACTGAGCTTGTGAGCGGTGCAAGAGAATCAAAGGTAAGCCAGCTAACATGAAATGGTATGGCAAACAAGCCTTTATAGAAAGGTAGACTCCAAAATTCCTGCGGTGTTCCAAGACACTTTAGTGGTTTTTTGTTTGTTTTTATACAGAAGGTGTGTGACGTTACCAGCCAAACAAGATGTGCTATTCATTGCTGCAAGAATGTCACTTCCAGGAATAACTAAAAGCTTTCCCTTCTCAAACTTCCGTTCACCAGCAATAACCTCCCACCAGCAATAACCTAACCACCAGCAATAATCTCAGCTGTCATGTCTCTTTTCCTCACTCACCTCATTTCCCTCTTCAGCCTCTTTTCCCATTCTGCACTATGTCTGTCATGATGTTGACCTCTGGGGTTGAAATGCTTCATAACTGCCAAGTGTTTGGTTCTCACCTGCAGAGTCTTCCTTAAAGCCAGCTGACTATATGAAGCCTGCCAACACCTGTCTGTGTTTCCTCCCTTGGATATAATGGGAAAACAGGCTGTCTTTTCTACCCTTTTCCCAACTAAGTGGGATACAAGTGGGTACGGGTTGAGAGTGGCAGGGGAATGAATAGTGAAACAAAGCATTCTTTATGGGATTGATGCTACCACTCATTGCCTCTAGGAGAGGAAGGTGCTGTTAAGTGGGTGACTTTGGCTATATTAACAGTTATTGGATTTTCTTGACAGTATGATCTCACTTATTCACATACTTCCAGTGCTAAGTAATACACATTTCTGGCTTGATATAAATATATAGTAAGAGTAAACACAGCACTCATAAAAGGTTCCAGATAACCAAGGGTCAGAATTATCCAGAAAACAGATACAGCACAAGCATCTCCCTCACTTACGTGCCTATATCTTGAGAATCCTGTGGGGATGAATAAGTAATTAATTTCCATTGCCCTTTTTTGCTCCTTGCTGCCAATACAGAATGATTAGGATGGTGGAATCTGTGATGTAGGCACCTATTTGCTCTGAAATTAGACTGAGATTTTCAGTTAGTAACATATTACAAAAATGGTCTCTCATCATTTTCAGGGAATGATCATTAAAGATGACAGGCTTCTGGACCATATGCTGCAATAAAAAGCCCACATCCAAGAATGGAGCATATGAAATGGACAAAGTGGCTGAAAATGTGGAAGAAAAAATGCAGATGAAACAAGAAATTACTTTGCTTAATGGTGTTTCTTTAATAGTAGGGAACATGATTGGTTCTGGAATATTTGTATCACCCAAAGGCGTATTGATGTATTGTGGCTCCTATGGACTCTCACTATGTATTTGGGCCCTTGGAGGGGTCTTCTCATTGTTTGGAGCTTTGTGCTATGCTGAACTGGGAACATCCATTATGAAATCAGGAGCTAGCTATGCATATATACTGGAAGCTTTCGGTGAATTCATAGCCTTTATCAGACTGTGGTCTTCCTTGCTAATTATTGAACCAACAACTCAGGCTGTAATAGCAATTACATTTGCTAACTACATTGTTCAACCAATTTTTCCATCCTGTGAGCCACCCTACGAAGCAGTCAGATTGATCGCAGCTGCTTGCATCTGTAAGTAAAGTTTTGATTGTCACAAATGAATTAATGTAATGCAGGTTCTCATAAAAGCCTTGTCAGATGCCCTCAACCTTTACTTTTCTGTAAAAATGACCAATTTTTATCCAGGGCAAATTCACGGGAATGTATTCTTTCTCTTCAGGAATGAAGATTTGCGAGACAAGAGGTCAGTGGTGGGGGGGGAGGGGAGGGAGAGGAAGGGGAACAGAGGATTTCCATTATTTTGACTGAGATTGCTGAGATAAAAGATAACATTTTGCTATGGATCACGAGTCTGACCCAAAGTCTATAATGAAGTCCATAGAAAAATTCCTGTTGGTTTCAATGGCCTTTTAATGAGGACCCAAATGGTCACATATCCTCATATATTTCAGTAACTGTTTGTGAGTGAAATTGGTGAAGCTTTGGCATCCCTCCTTTACCCTTACCAACAACCCAAAAATCTTTAAAAAATAATAAAAACCAGAAACTCTACCCCAAGCAGAGTTTTGACCCCTAAAAAGGTGAAAGTGCTAAGCAGGTGCTCCATGAAGTCCACTGGGGACTTTACTGTTGTTATGGGTTTTAGATGAAAGGCAAATGCAGGTATATACAGACCATGATTGAGTCCAGTCCCATGCTAACCAGAGGCTCAGCTATAACAGTGATGGATGCTGATATAAAACTCTATGAACCACACACCCAGAACTGTGTATAACGTGCAGGTTTCAGGATATGCAAGAGCACAATCAATTATCCATGAGGCAAGACACAAGGCGGGTTGCTGGACCAAGGGAGGTCCCTCCCTCATGGCCCTTGCTGAATCCCTGCCCCCACCCCCAGCTAGGCCGTTAGGCCAGAGCTGCCTGGCTGCCTCCATGCCGGAGCTCCTGCCAGACCACAGATGTTGCCAGACCAGAGAGTCCCAGTTAAGGGAGGAACAACCTGTATAACTCAATATAATAGAATAGTGTAAATTGTGACTTCTGAGAAAATGTCTTTGTTATTAATCCTGCTTAATTCTTTTAACACTCCCCAGTGAGGCTGACAGGGAGTTGTCATCTGAAAAGCAAACCATTATTGAAATTGGGTTCCTCATTCATCATTCTTCAGTATTCTAAGCATCTAAGTTATTGAAAAGCATGTCCACTATAATCTGTTTTATTAGCTTAATTGTGATTTAGATAATCTCCATACATTCTGGACACGTTTATCTCTCCTCAGCTTCATTTTGGATTCTGTCTCAGTAATTTTTCTTGTAGTCCTCATGTGGAAGAGTTTCTCTGTTTTGTAATACCATTAGTTGCAGTATGCTGCTACTCACAAGCTGTAGGGTTTTTAAATATATCATTATTCTACTTATGACATCTCGGAAGAGAAAGGATATATTAACAATCTTAAATCAACTAGTAGTCCTGTGGCATCATAGAGATTAACAAAAATATATGTAGTATTATGAGCTTACATGGTCAAGACCAACCTACTGGTTTCTTTGTTTTAGCAGAGAAAGGGAGAGGGTAAAGGAAAATCCCTAACTCTTAACTTACGGTATGTCTACACAGCAAAGTTATTTCAAAATAACAGTCTTTATTTCGAAATAACTATCCTAGCGTCTAAAGAGCCATTCTGTTATTTCAAAATTAAATCAAAATAGCGAGGGGTTGGAATGTTGGTATGGAAGGGTACGGCTTGCTCAGGAAGGACAGACAGGGAAAAAAGGGAGGAGGGGTTGCCTTGTACACACTTGGACTGAAGTGGAGATGAACGTAGGAGATAGCTGTGTAGAGAGTCTCTGGATTAAGCTAAAAGGGGTAAAAAACGAGGGTGATATCATGCTAGGAGTCTACTACAGGCCACCTAGCCAGGTGGAAGAGGTGGATGAGGCCTTTTTTAAACAATTAACAAAACTATCCAAAGCCCAAGATTTGGTGGTGATGGGGGACTTCAACTATCGATATAGGTGGCACTACTGATCAGGCTGTTAAAAATCTGGTTGGTGGCACAGAAGACCCAGAGCTAGGCAGGCTCCCTACTTGCCCTGACTCTGCGTGGCTTCTGAAAGTGTGTATGCCAACTCCATAGCGCTCACTGCCTGGGAACCGGGACCAGTAGAAACTGTGGGACTGATACCTGCAGACACAAGGGCTGCAGGCGGAGCCTCCTTGGCCTCCCATCCACCTAGGGGCCTCAAGGACCTAGTGGTTACTTCCTGGGAGCCTTGGTATGTGCTGCCAGGACCCCACATCCCTTCCACACACCAACCTCTGCCATTGCCCTGAGCTCCCTTCTGCATGCCACACCCCTGAACCCACAGTCTGGTGAAAGTGAATTAGGGCGGGAGAGAGGGAGAGACAGAGGGAAGAAGGATAGAGTACGTGGGGGTGGTACCTCAGAGAACAGGAGGGGCAAGGATGGAGTGGTACAGGCGTGTTAGGTTTTGTACAGTTAGAAAGCTGGCAACCTTGAGTCCAATTTCCTCATATTTACAGAAATAAAAAGGGAAAGATCATAAAGAGGGAAAGCGATTTAGGTCTAAAGATGAAGCAATTGAGAGAGATGTTTGTTTTGATAGTTGAAATATATGGACTTAGCTACAAACTCTATGTCAAAGCAAATGTTCCCTTCTAGGAATAAGGAATATTATAAGTTACCACTGTCTGCATGGTGGTTTTAGATGACAGAGAATGGTATCCTGTTTTAATGTGCACAGCATATTTGTTAATAGAGTGTGCTTTATAGAAATTACTCCGATAACAGATATGTTTAAATTTAGATGCTATCCTGACATAAAAAAAGTGTTTATCTTAGAACAATTCACTTTAAAATCTAATATTTTTTAGACCAAGAGCCTGTTACCACTGCATAACTCCAGTTGTGTACCAATGTGTAACACCACTGACTTTATTGGTAGCACAGTGGCATAAAAAGAGAAATGTCATGGTGTATCAAACCCCAAATGGGCACAGTAGTCCCATTGAAATCAGCGGGGCTACTCACAGTAACGAAGGTAAGCACAAGTGTAAGTGTGTGAAGGATCAGTCTTATATATTGGATTCTGGGGGG